GTCTGAGTGTCACTCACAGGTGAGTTTACCTGTTTACCTGTCTGAGGGTCACTCACCAGTGAGTTTACCTGTCTGAGTGTCATTCACAGGTGAGTTTACCTGTCTGAGGGTCTCACAGGTGAGTTTACCTGTTTACCTGTCTGAGGGTCACTCACCAGTGAGTTTACCTGTCTGAGGGTCACTCACCAGTGAGTTTACCTGTCTGAGTGTCACTCACAGGTGAGTTTACCTGTCTGAGGGTCACTCACAGGTGAGTTTACCTGTCTGAGTTTCACTCACCAGTGAGTTTACCTGTCTGAGTGTCACTCACAGGTGAGTTTACCTGTCTGAGTGTCACTCACAGGTGAGTTTACCTGTCTGAGGGTCACTCACCAGTGACTTTACCTGTCTGAGGGTCAGTCACAGGTGAGTTTACCTGTCTGAGTGTCACTCACAGGTGACTTTACCTGTCTGAGGGTCAGTCACAGGTGAGTTTCCCTGTCTGAGGGTCTCTCACAAGGTGAGTTTACCTGTCTGAGGGTCTCACAGGTGAGTTTACCTGTCTGAGGGTCTCTCACAGGTGGGTTTACCTGTCTGAGGGTCATTCACAGGTGAGTTTACCTGTCTGAGTGTCACTCACAGGTGAGTTTACCTGTCTGAGTGTCACTCACAGGTGAGTTTACCTGTCTGAGGGTCACTCACAGGTCAGTTTACCTGTCTGAGTGTCACTCACAGGTGAGTTTACCTGTCTGAGGGTCACTCACAGGTGAGTTTACCTGTCTGAGGGTCACTCACAGGTGAGTTTACCTGTCCCACAGGAAACTACGACCTGCACATCAACACAGAGGACTTTGAGGGGAACCGGCGCTTTGCTGAGTACAAGAACTTCCTGGTGGACGATGAGCAGGTGAGCTGTGACCACGTTTCGTGCCGTTCCCACGGCAGCCAGTCTGTCCAGACTAAACAAGATCCTGCGTTGACATGGAAACGCCATCAAGGTCACCGGCTGCTCTGGTTCCTGCTCAGACCTGGACCTGGTCTTTAGGTCTGGCATGTAAAAAAAACCTAACCACTCAGTGAAAAACAGAAAAATGATCCAGACGTCAGATCTGCTCCTGTGGATTGATTTTATTTACTTCTTTAAACAAATAAACAAAATTTATTCTATATAAATTTAAAAAGAGAAGAATGTTTATTATAAATAAATTATTTAGTTTTTATCAATAAAACCAGGTTTTAGAGAAAACTTGATTTAATGAAAAACATTTAATGTTACCTGCAGAGTCAGAACCAGAGAACTGGACCTGGTTCTGCTGTGACTCTGAAGGTCTGAAATTAACATTTTTCATCTCAGCAAACATGAGGAGAAGCTTCTGACTGTGTTCTGCTGGTCTCAGGACCAGTACCAGGTCCACGTCGGGGAGTACTCGGGGACCGCCGGTGACCCTCTGGCTGACGCCCGTGACCTGAACCCCAACAGTCCCTGCAGGGGGGGGATCAAGTTCAGCACCTTCGACCACCCAAACTACCAGGGGGCTGACGCCGACCAKCGCTGCGTCCGCTACTCCAAGTCCGGCTGGTGGTTCTGCAGGTAGGTCCATCTGCTGGTTCTGTTGGTACCGCCCTGCCGGGTCCACTCACCTGGTGACGACTTCTGAAAACCAGGATTTCTTTTAGCTGAAGAAATCAAAGTTTTCTGTAATTCTTAAAGTGGATTTTCAACAGAAACCAGCCTTAAACTCCTCCTCCTCTCAGGTGTGGCTCAGGTGATGTCAACAATCAGAACTTCAAAGGTCCGTTTGAGGCCATGAGCGATGACGGTGTGGCCTGGTACATCTGGCACGGCTGGTCCTACGCCATCAGGTCTGTGGTGATGATGGTCCGAGCTGCCGATCTCCAGCAGGCTCCGCCCAGCGCCGAGCAGTGGGCGGTCCTTCCTCGCAACGACCAGTAGGAGGAAGAACAGGCTCCGCCCCCAAAACCTTGTGCTGCTCAAATAAAACCCTCTGACATCATGTGATAGTTCTCATTTTATTCTGTGAAAATAAACTGACTTCAGGACAGGAAGTGACTCTTATTTTGAAAAGAACAGGCCTGTGTGGCAGGAAAAGGGTTTCAGGAAACAAACTCATCAACTTTGGTTCCAGTTTGTCTTTTTTGGGCACAAAGTGGTTCAAAGCAGGAACAAGAAACACAAAGTTCAACTTCAAGACCAAAAAAACCTGACAGGACCAGTTCAGCTCAGTCCAGCCTGTCCTCAGGGGGACAGGAAGTCCTCGGTCCTGCAGAACTTCTACCTGTCCTCAGGGGGACAGGAAGTCCTCGGTCCTGCAGAACTTCTACCTGTCCTCAGGGGGACAGGAAGTCCTCGGTCCTGCAGAACTTCTACCTGTCCTCAGGGGGACAGGAAGTCCTCGGTCCTGCAAAGATGCATTC